TCTGTAGAGCCACACGGGGGTGGTTAGGTCACTTGGCCTGTTGACTCCTCGGTGGAGACAGATTAGCTATTTCTGTGGGTAGTTGGAAAGCTACCTCAAGAGACCTTATCAATGGTCTGTGTACTATGACCATGGATAGTGGTGGAAACCAGGAGGAACAGCCAGGAGGTACATCTGCCACAAGTTGGTAATGTTTTCTTCTCTTTCTTCTATTTTTGTCAAGATGACATTCATTCTTTAGTTCACTCATATACCAAGCATTTTTTTTTTTTTTTTACTATTAGTTATGTACCAGGACTTGTGGGAGACATTAGGGAATGAAAGATACCTCTACCCCAAAGTGGATAAGTATAAATAAGATCATAACTGATATTTTAGAAGTTTTGAAGAACAAAGCAGCTACTTGAATATGGGGGGAGAGCTTTTCTGGGTGAAGGAAGAAATTTAAATCTTAATAATGGACCACTTAGAAATTTAAAACAATAATGTCACTAAATATAAAACACAAAATGTAGCCAAAATTGTACTTAAAAGAAAGATTTTTAGCCTTAAAATCTTTAAAATTTTAATGAAGAGGAATGGGAATAAATTAATGGAACTGTCAGTTCAAGCGGCTTTAAAAATGGCTGCCCATGGTAGCAGCAGATAAGTGTTGAATACTCATGGTATGGTAGGTACAGTTCTTTGTGTGGATTAACTCATTTAATTCTAACAATACCACCATGAAGTTGGAACTATTATCACTCTCATTTTTCAGAGAAGAAATTGAAGCAGAGGGAGAGCCGTTAATATATTCAGATATTATAGTTTGCAATTGTGACTATGGAATCCAAACTTGGCCATCTGACTCTAGAATTCATACTCCTAATCAGTAAGCAATACACATACAAGTAAGTGATGCTTTTGCAGATGTGTTGGGGAGGCTAGCAAAAGGAGCAATTAATACAGTAGGATAAAACCGAGTGGAATTGATAAATAATCCGTGATCTGCTTCTTTGAAATAATAGAACAATAAATAGACAATAAAGAATATTAACTTCTGAAAAAAGGAAGAGATTACTTAACAATATTATACAGGGAAAGAGCAAATGCTTAATACCACCCTAGATAAGGTGAGCAGTGTGAGCATATTGGGCAGAACCCTGTACAGGGTTCCAGGGAAAACATAAATTACAAAGGTTAGTTTGAGAAGAGATGGAAGATCATCTGTGAGGTCGAAAGGTAGACAGCGGGGGGAAAGTGGGATATATGTGTCAGAAAGGAAAGAAGAGAATATCATTTGGCATAATGTGTTTCTTCTCTTTGGAAAACACAAAAAACTGTTATGAGCTTGTGTTGTTTAGGATTCTTTAGAGGAACAGATTCAATAGAATGTGTGTGTATATATATGTGTGTGTGTGTGTGTGTGTGTGATATATGGGTTTGTCATATATCACATATGTAATATATACGAATTATTTCAGGGGATTTATTAGGCAGGGTTACAGAATCAGACATCAGGGAGTCTACCACGGCCATCTGAGTGCTGGAGAACCAGAGAATCCAGTAGCTGCCCAGTCCAAGAAACCGGAAGCTTCAGAACAAGAGAAATTAAGTATATGGGAACAGTTCAAGATCAAAGGCCTGCAAGCTCCCTGGGGAGTTGCCTGTGGGAGTCTGCTGGAAGACTGAACAAACTGGAGTCTGATGTCCATAGGTAGAGGCAGCAAAAGGTGCACCGCTCAAGCCACATGGAGCCCTTCAAAACGCGCCAGCTGCCTTCTTCTCTCCCGTTCACTGCATCCAAGCCACAAGCCTGTTGGTCGGTGTCGCTCACAGCCTGGGCGGATCTTGCCCCACGGTCTTCTGGCCTCCACACCTGTCAGCAGGAATCACCCCCACAGTCATGCCCATAACTGTGTCTACTCATCGGCTAGGTGTTTTGTAAGTCAGTCAGCTTGACAATCAGGGTGAATGGTCACAGAGCCAAAGAATGCTCACAAAATAAATATACTGAAATTCTGTTGCTTTCTTATTTGTGAACAATGACCAGTTGGAAAGCAGACTAGGAAAACTGCCAAGTTCGCAATAGCATTAAAAAAAGAATCCTGAAGATTGTACTAAATGAGGAATATGCTGGAAATTCAGAGAAAAGTAACTATTGAGGGTTATGAAAGATTTTCAACCAGGGAAAAATCAATTCCTGATGGAATTACACATTGTTGTAAAAATATCAGTTATCTTGAATTTTATTTCTAAATTTAAGAGTGTTTCAATCAAGATCCTCCTGTTGTTTGGACGGAAGGGACCCATTAAACACAATTCCAATAAAAATTCCATTGGTATTTTAAAAATCTTGATAAACTGATTCTAAAGTTCACTTGGAAGAATAAACATGCAGTGATAGCCAAGAAAGTGTTTGAAAATAAGGATAATGAGGGAGGACTTGCCCTGCCAAGATATAACATATTATAAAGCTGCTATAATTAAAACCCCTATTGCTCTACTTCAAGACAGATCAATGGCACAGAACAGAAGGCCAAAGACAGACTCCAGTGTATGCAATTATGGAACATATAATAAAGTTGGCATTTGAAATCCATGGGGAAGGGATAAATTATTCAATCAAAGATGCTGGGACAATTGGTTACCTATTTGGAAAAAAAAATGGCAAGTTAGATTCTCATTTCACATCAGATTACAAGAAATTGTATATGAATTAAAGAGGAAATGGTGCCTTGGAAAAGTAAGAGTGGAATACTATTTATATTATTTATATGGCTTTGGGACATGAAGAAGGCCTTTTGAAGTGTAGTTCGATTAAGTTTTCTCTGTCTGGTTTTTACATGTAGTGATTAAAAAATTATATGTAGTATTTCTGTTCTTTTTTATCCTTTACCGTTAACACACAGTTAAATTTACAGTGTTTTATAGGTAGTTTTTTATAGTTTGTAATCTCTGGAGGAATATAAGACTCAGCACATTTCAGTTTTATAGCCCTCTTCCACCCCACATCTTACGGCCAAAGTTTTTTCTTTTAGTTCCTTCCTTTTTTGTCTCTCTTCATTTAAAATTTCATATTTATGGAAAATATTGAACATGTGTAATAATAGATTTGTATAATGAACCTGTTTGTTTCCATCACTCATGTTCAGTAATGACCTAGCATGAGCAAAATTTTTTATCAACAGCCCTCGCTAGCGTACTGAATTATTCTGACTTGAATTCTTTTATTCATAAAGATTTAAGGTGTATCCCCAATAAAGATTCTATTTTTAAAACTGCAGTGCCATTTTCATGCCCCAAAGTCTGTTGCCTAACATCAGTAACTCCTTCATACCATAAAATCTGAGTACATCCCTTTCCCTGACACATAGCCTCATATTATATTTTTTATTTAAAACTTTGCTTTGGCACCTGTTCGTAGTACATAACGGTTCCATTCCTTTTGGGGAGTGGATACATATGAAGACCACACTTTAATTTACTTTTCACCTCCTCCCTTTTCCTCCCTCTCCCTTCTTTCTGTCTCCTGATTCCTTCTCCATTTGAGAAAGCTCTAGCTACCTGCTGCCTGTTGTCTGTCTTTATTTTGCTCTTTCTAGTTCAGATTTCTCAGATAAGAGAGATCATGTGATATTGAAGGTTGTGTGTCTGATTCATTTCACTCAAGCTTATGGTCTCAAGGTGCATTCATTTTCCTAAAGATGACTCCAGTTTCTTCTTTGTGGCAAAACAGTGCTCCATTGTGTGTAAACAGAACATTTTCTTTATCCATTCATTTGTTGATGGACATATAAGACCTCATAATTTTTTAAACTACTGGTTTCTTCAAATTAGGATTCAGGTAAGGTCCACATAGTCACTTGTTGACATGTTTCTTAAATTCCACTGAATATGTTTCTCCTCTATGTTTTCCCCTCTTGCAGTTTATTTGTTGAAGAAATCATGTGGGTTGCTTTCTTGGGTCTATATTCTGAGGTTTGGGGGGTGAGTGTTTAGTGATTACCTCCCTATGATGGCATTTAGTCTCCTCCCCTGGCACGTGTACTTTCTGTCGATCTGTAGTTGTATGGAGAGATTTGACCCAGTTTAGACTGGATCATTTGGCAGGAGTACTTCAGAGATGGTGGTGTGGGCCTGTGTGAAGGCATGCAGTATCTTTGGGGATGTCAGGAGCTACTGATGATTGTGGTTCTGATCCACTGTCTCACTAGGGATGGCCGGGAGGTTTCCTGTTCTTTTTTAATTTGCTGAACATGTTCTTTAGAAAGGTTCTGAACTGGTCCCCAGACTATGGTGTCTGTCCTCTAATGACAAATAGTCTAGAGATTGTAAAAGGAAGTTTGAACAACAGTGATGGTAACAGAAGATCAAACAAAAATGGTTTTATTTTGTATATTCCCTGACCGTCCCTTCATCCGCTGACAAAATCCTCCAGTAGTGAAGCCATACCATAGATAAATGTGTACATTTCTATGTATTTGGTTGCAAATGACTAATGTAACAAGGTAAACGTCGCAGTCTGTTTCTTCCATTCTTCCACTTAACTGACACCCTTCCTAATCAAGCTCCTAGATGGAGCGTGCATTCGCCACTCATGCTTACTGTTTCTACATCCAGTTCATATTATGAAGTATGACTCTAGCATTTCAAGATACATATTTCTCATGCATTATGAACCTAACACAAGCCAACTGCTTCCTCTGGTGCCTGATCTAAGAAAGAACATTCTATTTCCAAACCAATAGAAGACCAGGGATCTTCAAGGAAGTATTATGTGGAGCATATGTGATCTTTTGAACACTGTTTAACTTTAGAAATTTAATGCCCGTGCGAGATACAACATAGTTATACCCAAGAGTATGTCTTCAACAAGGGACAGGAGGCAGAAGCTGAAACTGCTGTGCTTGGGCATAAAGCCTTTATTTGGTGAAGTCCAAGCTTGCTGATCTTGCCCTCCCTTTTCCTCCGCCCCCGCGCTTCTTCCCTTTCTCCTAACCTTATTTTCTCTTTTGCAGTTTGCTGCTTTGTTGTGCACAAACGGTGCCATGAATTTGTCACATTCTCCTGCCCTGGCGCGGACAAGGGCCCAGCCTCTGATGTAAGTAATGGGCAGGGGTCAGTTCCCTCTGTCCACAGTCAGTGCATCCTTCTGGGTAATGAGAGTGAGCATGCTTAGACAAACTCTGTTTCTGCTTTGGTCCACCTTCCTGGAATTTTCCCTGTTGGCTTTGTCACCTACTGGCCCTGCCACCCACTTGTAATTGGTAGCTGACCTCAGTTTGCCCTAAGCAGTAGTGACACCTGTTACTGAATCTCTTTGACTCCTGTTAGCCTTCCACAAGTGGTCATTTGCCATTTTGTTGCAGTTCGGGGTGGAGACATCTGTTACTATAGCAACACCAACACTCTAGAGGTTGTCCTGGACAGTTTGGCACTTGAAGTGAGAACTCCAGACAGTGTGGGACATCCAATGCTCTTGCAGGCCTGTTTGCTGAGTTGAGGGCTGGGACCATTTGCCATGTTCTTCCCAATCCTACTCTCTGGCCCTTTTAGAGCAATTTCTTCTCACATTCTCAGGAAAACAGGCAGAGAAGTTTTTGGGGAACTGTCTAACTCCCTCTAAATGTTTTTGCAGATCCAGACTTGGATTTTCAGTGCAGCTAGGAAGGTGCTGCTTCCTAGGCTGCGGCTTTATCTGTCACATTTTTCTGTTGCTAAGACAGAGACTCAGTTCAAATTGGATTAAATGGAAAGGGAAATTGTTGGTGCCTGAAGTTGGAAAGCCCAAGGATAGACCCAGCTTCTGGTGTAATAAATCAAACAGCTGAAATGAGGTCCTCAGGGTCCTCTGTCTGCATTTCCTGGCTCAGCTTTCCTCTGTGTTGGCTTCATTTCCCAGAGCAGTGTGCTGGCTGAAGCACCTTTAGTTTTAGATCTCATCACTGCTGTAACCCCATTGAAAAGACCTCAGGTCTCTCTGGACCAAGGTCACAGGTGACTGGAGGGGTGGGCTACACTGACAGCATAAGCTCTCGTTGATAAGACTGGCCCCGGCTGGCCTGTTCATGTACTTCTTCTATGGTCTGTATGTGTGGTGTACCCCGCACCCCAATATCTGAACATCTGAACTCCAAGGTATGGTATTAGGAGATGGGGTCACTGGGATGTGATCAGCTCCTGAGGAAAGAGCTTCATGAATGGAACTTGTGCCCTCTAAGAGACCCCTCAACCCCTCCACCATGTGAGCTTATACCAAGAAAACAGCTGTGGTTGAAGAGATGGGCCTTACCAGGCACCGAGTCTTCCAGTCTCTTGATCTTGGACTTCTCCCCCTCCAGAACTGTAAGAACTACGTTTTTGTTATTTAAAAGCCACGTAACTTTTGACATTTTGCTATAGGAGCCCAAATGGACTAAAGCAGGAAAGTTTGGTACCATTGGTAGTTCTCTAGCAATGGCATTTTAAGGATTAGTTTTCTGGATTGGTTCTGGGGCATTGAGAGTTGAGGTGAGGTTCTCCAGAAGGCTGTGTGTACCCTGGGAACCAGCATCCTTTGTATGGTGCTGATTCTGCAATGGCCAGGATTGGCAGGCCCAGGCATCAAGGGTGGTGATTTCCCCTACTTGGAATCTTTTTGGCTTTGTTTTCCCATGACCTTATGTTCCACTGGCCTAGAGGTTTTAGTTCTAGAGGGAGCAGTTCCTCTACAAAGAAAAGTAACAGTGATTCTGTTGAACTAGAAGTTAAGACTGCCCACAGGTCACTAATAAGCCAAGAAGGAACTCGTGGGGCAACTGATACGGACTCCCAAGGGGAACGAATTACTGTTCCACAGTGTAGGAAGTGAAGAGTGTGTCTCGAATACAGAAGATCCCATAGGGCATCTCTTGGGATTACCATGACTTGTTATCAAGGTCAGTGGCAAAGTACAGCAGCCCAGTGCAGTCAGGGCTACTCATGGGCCAGGCCCTTTAAGGATGAAGGTTTGGGTCACCTTGACAGGTAAAGAACCACCACCAGCCAAGGTGCTTGCTCATGGAAGAGAGAATACAGAATGGGCAGTAGAAGAAGGGAGTTTTAGGGAACAGCTATGAGATAAAGTTATAGACCAGTTATAGAGATAAAGGCTGTAATTGCCAATAGTACTTCCTCCTAATTGTGTATAACTATCTTTGTATTACAGCATACATATATTACATATCTTTGTTTTCCTTCCTCTCTCAATATTTTGTCATGTAACGTAGGTTGCATAGACTTTATATCAGTATTTTAAGTATTGCTAGCTTTACATCTTGGTATTTAGGTTCTACTATATCAGAAGAAGAGAAATCAGTACTCCAGAATTTTATCTCTTTCTTCTGGGAAGAGATTAATGTGATTTTCCTTGTTCAAGTCTAGTTATATCAGAAGGAATTATGACCTTGTTTTCCTTTGTTTGGAAGTGTAGTTTAAAGAGAAGTAAGTGTGTAGGTGTCAATTGGGAAAGGGTGAACGTGTGATAGTTAAATCCAGGCATCAACTTGCCTGGACTGAGAGATGCCCAGATAGCTCATAAAACATTACCTCTGCCTGTGTCTCTGAGGGGATTCCAAGCAAAAAATAGTATTTGAATTAGTAGACTGAGTGAATAAGAAGGTATATATGGTAGGCATGATCCAGTCCATGAGGGCCTACATAAAACAAAAAAGCAAAGGAAGAATTCATCCTCTCCCACTGAATGGGGACTTCTATCAGTCCTTCCAATGGGCATTGGTGCCCTCAGGTTTTAGCCATAGACTTGAACCAGGACTTCTAACATTGGCACCTCTACTTCTCAGGTCTTTGGACTTAGCTGTGGACTAAATTATGCTCTAGGCTCTCTTGGTTTGCCAGTTTGCAGATGGTAGGCTATGGGATTTCTCAATCTCCTTAATCATGTGAGCCAATTCATAAGATAAATTTATCCATCTCTGTCCATATCTATTCTGTTAGCTTTGTGTTAGTGTAGAAGCCTGAGTAGTACATTGAGCCTGCTCCTGGAGACGAAGATATGTGCTCATTCCATAGTGTGAGAGTGGCACAGGAAAACTAGACAAGCAGTACTATGTACTCGTTAAATTCACAGACTATGGAGAAAACTTTCCTAGTTTCAAACCTGTGTGGTCTTGGCAAATTATTTAAATTTCTTTATGCCTTTGAGTCTTCAGCTGAAAAATGGGGAAAGTAATCATTGCAACCTTACCCTATGCATTGTTATGAATGTCAAATGCATAAATATCTGTGAAACCACAGTGTCTGGTACGGTGCAAGATCTATCTATACCTCATGGTGATGACAGAGATGGGAAAACAGTGAGCACGTGGGAGCAGGGAGCAAGAATGGACTGGGGATGTCTGAAGGGTAAGCAGGTTCTTCGCTTGCCACCTGGCAACCCTTCCTAGGAGTGTGCAGATTCCGTTAGGTGTGTGAGACCCCTCTCCGTATGAATGGAGGCATGCGGCCATAAATTGTTTCAGGCATGGGGAGAACAGGAAGTACTCCCTGTAGCCAGCAGGCATAGGATTTGGCAGCCTGCCTGAAATGATTCTATTCCTGGATACCATCCCATGAAGGCCACTTGGCACTAAGGATGATGGATTGGTCCAGACTCCTGATCCAGCTCCACTCGGTTCATTGACCTTTTTCTGCCCATGGTTGGAAGCATGATTAAGACCAGGCCACACCTGCTTGTCCACCTGGCCAGGCTCTCTCTTGTCTGTCCCTGATACTCATGCAGGAACTGTGTAACCTTGGAGGAACTGGTGTACAGCAAGTCCACAAAGCAGAAGTGTTCAGCGTTGTCCATGAAAAAGAAATGTGATGGGTTCCATCTTCTTCCCTGCTATCCCAAGCCCGATTGAAACCAGGACATATTCTGGATATTAGTAGAACTCTGTGTTGACATCATTCTGCAGACAAGTCTTCATCAGGATATATTGAGGGAACTTCTGGAGCTAGGCAGCGGCCTGTGAGCCTAGTTACTGACCTAACCATGTAATGCTAGAGGGAATAGACCATGTAAGTGGCACTCAGCATCAGAAGGCCTCAACCTGTGACAGGGATTGGGGAAGATACCTCTGATCATTTGTAGGCATTCTCCCAGTTCTTGGTCTCACCAGGTTGAAAATCATCAGTGCTGTTTCTCAGACCTTGCAGAAACACCACCTGGAACCGCCATAAGCATTGCATACGGACAGTATAGGTCACCCAGCACTCAGAGTATGGGCCATGTGTACAGCCTCTTGGGCGATTTCAGAATGAGGGAGAGAGGAATTGTGTCTGAGGGCTGGGACTAGTGTTCTTGTCCATGTCACTGGTTGCCTGGAAGGTTGGCTGATGACTAGACCATCTAGGATGGAGCCACTCACGGGACCAGCAGCAAACAGATCGTTGGCCTGGCACATGGGTTTCCTCCGCGTGGCTCGTCTTCCATGCACCTAGCTGGCTTTGGCTCGTCCACATGGAGGTTTCAGGGTGCCAGGAAGAACAACAGAGCATCCCCCACTGCACAAGAACTTTTAACACCTGTGCATTGTGTTCACTAAGGATATGAATGCCAACTCTATAGGTTTATAGTGAAATTTTAAAAATATTTAAAGTTGGAAAAGTTATAGAGAAAAAAAGACGAATGGATTAATAGCAAAAAGCTGCATGCCCTTGCACAAAGTGCTTGGCAGCGTGCTTCATGAGCCCAGGATGCTGTGGTAAAAGCATTGCTCCTGCTCCCAGCCTCCCTAATTGTGAATGCACGGATCACCGTCCACATTCGCCTACCCAGTGGCTTGTCCATAGCAGGTGACTACTGTCTCCTTCCCCACTGCTTTACACGAGCTCCGTGATGCAGTGCCGAGGAAAGAGCTGACTCTGGAGCCGGAGTACCTGTGTATCAAATTCCTCCTCTGCCATTCCTCCTCTGCTCCAGTGGTCTTGGGAAAGTAAAATTTAAGTTCTGTGGCTTGATTTTATATCTTTAAAAATGGGGGGAAGTAATACCTAAATCAGTATTTTTTCTTTTTTTTGGCGAGCATTCCATGAGATTCCTTGGTTCACATCCACAGTAGTATTTAGCATTAAAAAGGC